TGCGCGATGATAAGGCACTAACACACGACAACACCAAAGACCAAAATGAAATAAAACTAAAACACCCTGCGGTATGGGTGTAGGCGGTCTAAGGCAATTGAAGGGTAATATTTAAGTTCGAAGGGAGGGGGAGAAGTTAGACGCCGTAGGGTAGCCCGTAGGAAAACCTAAAACAAACAAAATCTTGAGGCCTGAAACAAACAGTATAGCGATTCTCCGGAGTATTTATCTCCGAAGTTCGCCAGTAGCCCGGGTGGGGAGTTCCACTGAACCCGAACAATAGTCAGACGCTTGGTGAATTTTATACTTCAAATCCGGAGCTTACTTGGATTGATATGCGATGGCGGAGTTATCTAGTTTCGACGAGTCAGGCCTATTGGCAAAGCTAGGATTGCTTGTAGACGCTAAGTCCGACGCGAAGGGACTCCGAGGGTCGCTGAGACGATAATTCTGGTACGCTGAGAGGGTGAAGTACAAAACTTGGATTTTCCACTACGCTCCATACATTTTTATGCTATTGGAATGGTTTTGCGTCCGCCCGGAGTTAAATAACGAATATGCTCCGCATCCCACACAATTACTCAGCCTTTGCCCACCGCTATACCATGTCCCATATGATCCTGCCGTGTTTCCACGTGCTCGTCCTAGGTCCTAGAGGTAGCCTCGACGCGTCAATGCTCGCTTGAAGTTCCTCATCACGCGGTACTGCAGGCTGATCACGTGCGGATTAGCTCCGGCCGCTTGCTGACTGATACGTTCCGTCTGGCCGTCGATTTACGTCCGCTGACTCGGTCGCTTTGACGGAAACGAAGGGGAGTGATGACTGGGGAGTGGTAATACCAATGACTCACTGCAATGCGGGCCTCCGCCGTTCCCGGAGATAATTAGTCACAAAGGTATTCTTCCGGGTGACTTCGGAGTGTCTGGCTGCGGAGCTAAATCATATTGGTGATCTGCGCCTGCCTTGAGGACGTTAGAAGGTCCGGAATTAAATCCAGAACCCTTCGTCGGTTACTTGTAGCATAAGAGGTTCGACAGGTGGTGTCGAATAAACTTTGGAGGGGATGTATGGTGTGTCAAATTCGCAATTTCGGGGGTCAGAAGATCGCTGGGGCTTATCAGCGACAAGCAAAAGGCACCACGGGGGGCTTCGCTAGGTTCAAACATTGGGGGGAACAAGGACATCATAGTGTAGTTGGGAGTTGTCTTATCCAAACATACCAGTGCCTTTCCTAAGGGCACAGTGGCACAGATGGTGGCACTTAGTGATACTGAAAGGCTCAGTGGCGGCTAGTGTGCCACTCCGGGGAGCCGCTGAGTTGGGCAAGCGCGTGGGCCATGCCATGCGGTGAACAATGCTTCACTGAATACAAGGAATCCTCATTGCAGAATGACCCACGATGCGCTTAGAGCTATGTGGCGGTTTGATGTGCTTCCGGGAGATCCTGATTTCATCGGGAGGCCAGGGTAGACAATGCACCAGCGAGGGGAGACAATGTATCGGCACTGCCCCTGGTAGACAAGGTAAGGCCAGCTATGGATGTCTGGGGACGATGGAGCCAACAAAGGGCACAACGAAGAACTCGTGCATAAATACAGCAGTGTCTGCAAGTGTGCTGTACTGGACAGACATGTTCAAGGTATCATGGCTCTTCGACTTTTTGATGCCTGTCAGGCTTGTCGCTCCGCGGGTGGAACACTCGCTAATCTTTGCTCTTGCGATCTCTCCCTCAGCAAAGTTCCTGGCTAGCAGAGGTATGTGGTAACCCCATAAGCTGCTTTCCCTAACACAAGCGGGAGCTGTTCAGGAGAGTACGGCATACAGTTATGGAGCCTCAAAGACTATGCACCAATAGCCACCCGATTACATCAGGACTTAGGGGACCAACAAGCAGTATTGCTTGGTTGGAGAGGGAGATTGGTGAGACCTTGGTGTATGGTATGGCCCTAGGATGGTTGGGGTGTTGGAGACAAAATTCTACAGAGGTACATCGAAACCAAGAAGCACTTCTAGACCTAACGAGTGTCCTATACAGTTCAAGGAGCTGTGTGCACATCGTACGGGCAAAGGATGCGAATTTGCAAGTCTCGCGACCGGTGCCGGAACATGCCGGATAACATCTGCTGCCAGAGATGGTTCAATCCAAGTCTGGACTTTCAACGCAGAGGAGAGCCTGATCTCTCTCTTCTCCATTTGTCTGGACCAGACAACACCGATCTGTGTCGCGTTTAAGGACAACACAACCAAGGATATCTTCGTCTTCAGTATCTATGATGGCAAATGGTAAGGCTCAGCTGATCCTGCACAGCCAAGCACCAAATGCTGATTCTCTGGAAGTTTTGTACTGCAAGGGAATGATGGAAAAGTCCTTTCTAGGGAGACAACAAATATTATGATGTGAGTGCAACGAATATTGATAACAATCATCATTACTCACCACATCCACAGGGGCCACATCACTGATATGCACTGACATGCAACAACACCTAAGACTAAATGGGAAATAACCTAGCACACCCAGTGGTATGGGTGGAGGCGGTCTAAGATGATTGAAGGGTAATATTTAAGTTAGAAGGGAGGGGGAGGAGTAAGACAACGTAGGATAGCCCGTAGGAAGACCTAGAAATATAAACAAAACCTTGAGGCCTAAAACCAACAGCACAGCAATACTCCGGAGTATTTATCTCCGAAGACCACTTATAGCCCAGATGGTGGACTCCAGCGAGCTCACACAATAGTTGCCTTTCCTAGAGACACTTTGTGTATTTTATACTTCGAAAACGGAGCTTACTGGGGTTAATATACAACAGCGGAGATATTTAATTCGTTGAGTCAGGCCTATTGGCAAAGCTAGGATCGATTGTAAACACTAAGTCCGACGTGATTGGACTTCGAGGGTCACGGAGACTGTAACTCAAGAAAAAACTTGTTTTTACTTTCCTTTAAATCGTACATTTTATACTACAGCAATGACCCTGCGACCGCCCGGAGATAAATAACAAATACTCACCGCAACTCCCTTGACTGCTCAGCATCCGTCCACCCCTATACCATGCACCATACGACTCCCTAGTCCTTCCATATGCTCATCCTACCCCCTAGAGGTTGTCCTAATATGCTAATGCTGATCCTCAGCCTTCCCATCATGCTGCACAGCATGCCGGTCACATGCAATTTAACTCCGGCTGCTTGCTGACTGATGCTGGCCTCATGGTCGCGGATTTACGCCTGCAAACTCAGTAATTTGATGGAGATGAAGGGGAGGAAGTACTGGAAGCTGGGTGTGAGGATGACTCACAATTGTACAGGTGCCCACAACTGCCAGAGATAATTCATGCCAAAGTTACTTCTTGATCCACTCCGGAGTGCCTGACTTCGGAGCTAAATCCTTGTAGGATTTCGTGCTTGCCTCGAGGACGCTAGAAGGCCTGGATCTAAATTGAACCATTGTAGTACGCCAGTCGCATCCTAGCGGCGTGTGAGAGGCACATCGAATAGACTCTCTAGGGTGTGGAGGAAGCATCGATTCCGCGATTTCGGAGGTCAGACAATTGTGGAGGCTTATCACCTCCCCCTGACCGGAATCCAGACTGTCCTCAGTCTCCACATTGCGACCTGTAGATAAAAAGGGCCCCCATTGTCCTCAGAGTTCACTATCTACTACCATGTCTGCCCAGTCGACTCAGCCCTTTACTGCTGCCCACTTGACCAATGCCTTGAAGGGGTTGGCCACTTGACACGCCAATGGCAAGTCCGCAGAAGGCCTTATTGTTGAGGTGGAGACATATATGGTACATCCGGTCCTAAATTGCTTTGAGTGGATGGAGCTGACTGTCTTATTTCAACTGCATTTCGTTGAGCAGAGCAGCAACATGGTCTCCACCTGCATGAGCACTGTGTTGCTCATGAAGATCCATCTTCCTTCTGCGGTGTTGGACAGCCTGTACACCCTTTCCCTTGATGAGGGGCATGGTATGCATGTTTTCCAGTTCAATCTGACTTTCCCTACAGCTCCCACGACTGCTACAACGACCCCCACCGCTACCTCTGTTCCTGCAATAACTCCGGCTCTGGGTTGGACTAGCAGGGCTTCCAAGCAAGCGCACAAGGAGGGTGTATCGCCTGAGAAGGCTGTGGAGGATGACACTCAGCCCAAGCCTCTTGGGTGTGTTTGCCCCAAGGGTATGACTAAGGTGCAGTATGGGGAGGCGCGAACAGTGGTAAGTGTATTCCTCATACGATTGCTGGTACGACTCTGGAGCTAAATAAGTCATAGTGCCGGGGTTGTATGGAGCGAAAGATCCAGTGCCATGTGCCGATTTCAGGACAGGTAGAGGTGTGCCAGGAGTGCGCGCAGAAGAAAACTTGGTGCAGCTTTGCCGATGGGAGGGGGCTGCAGGCTGAGAGTAGTGAGGAGGTGGAAGAGGTGAACGAGGCACTGGTTGGGCAACAGCGGTCCAGCCCTAAAAAGCCATAACTGATAATGGAAGACATAACTAGTAAGTGTTGATGACTTAATTCTGCCCGAGTGTTGAATTATTCCAGAAGTTGAGGTGCCTCTGCCTGGTCGCAAGGGGAAGGGCAAGCCCAAAGTGCAGGAGGCCGGGCCTACACCGGAGTCTTCTTCCATATGCCCTCCTAATCCTCCGTCTGCAGTTCCCAGTCCGGTCACTCCCCTTCTGAACTTTGGGTCAGAGGTGCACTTGGTCCCCCTTCTCGAATGCCTAGCTCCGACCTCTCCCTTGTCTCTCCTTTCCTTCGTAGGGACTTGTCTATGGAGCAGATTGCCAGGCTCTTCTAAGCTGTTGGGGAGCTGTGCGAGCAGTCCCTCGTGGCTCAGGAGAATACCCTGAAACTGCGGGAATAAAACGCGGAGCTGCGGCGTAATTTGGAGGATATGCAGAGACAGTATGACAGGACTCAACAGGGCTTGCGGGATGCACTCAAGGGGATATAAGCGGGTCTCCACTTGTTCCGCGGTGAGCACGGTAAGGTAGTAATGGACCTGGAGCGCCTCCGCACCCATCCCTTGCCTTCTCTCGAGGACTTAAAGCAGCAGTTGCTGAGCCTAGACCTCTGCCTTGGGTCCCTGGAGTATGCTATGCAGCGTGCTACTGTCGAGGATGAGGGTACTGCCGCTGCCAAGGGGGGAGCATCTGGATCCGCTGCTTGCCCTTCTGCCTAAGTAGAGCTTGTCTTTGTTATCTTGTTCTACCTTGTTCATGTTGTCCTTGCCCATCGTTCTTGTACTTGTATTTTGCTCCGGACACGTTGTCTTGGTCTGGTCCGCTCTATTTCTGTAACAAGTGTTTGCCTGTCTATAAATGAATGAACTGAATGAGAGGACAAATAGTGATTTGGAATAACATGTTATAGGAACTTCGGAACTTTAGAGGAGTTTCGAAGTAAGGGATAAAGTAAAAGATATAAATGATAACATAGCTTGGCAACGTATGAGGGAGTGTGTGGGTGATTTTCATATATCCTGAAGGTAAAAAGAAAGAGAAAGAATAAAGTAGTTAAGGAGCAGGGTAAAATGGAGAGAATGAACAAAAAAACCGCCAAAAACTTCTGGGTATATGGGGACCGCTGCTTCTCTCCCCCTGACTGAAACCTGAACTGTCCTCAGTTCCTCTCGTACTCCACTACAGTGCTTCCTCACCTCGAGGATCTTCTTCATCTTCATCATCACCATGGTCATCCTGCTCTTCCATCCTGTGTACCTGATCCTCCCCAATGTCTGTAAAATCTGCTCGGAGCGTAATAGATTTTCTTGCAAGGTAGGGGATGATGCAGAACGCGGCAAAGGGTCGATCAAATAGTGTACTGTTGAGTTCCGCAAGGATATAAGCTCCGCCGTGGTCCTGGGACACCGTAATGAGTGGACCGAGGTACCTGGATCGTATTTTACAATTGAGGGATTTTTCGATTTTCATATTGCAGACCAGGACCAAATCGCCTCACTTGAACTCAAAATCATGGATAGTGGCCGCATGATTGCGTTCGAAGCATCTCGCTGCCTCAAGTTGATATTGGAGGACTCGAGAATGGAGGCGCTCGACTTGTGCATCACATTTCTGCAAGGCTATCACTCGGAAGACAATAAGGTCTTCGCTGGAGAGGATTGACATTGGGGGAGGCTGTAGGTAGGTCACCTCAACGATATCAAGGGGAATGAGCGGGTGGGAACCAGTGACCGTGAAGTAGGGTGAACAGCCCATGCGATGTCTGATGGTTATTTGCTCGGACCAAATTACGGAGTGAAATACCTGCGACCAACGAGCAGTGTCACCATCTGCAGCCTTGTAAAGTGCCTGCCTAAAATCAAAATGGGGGCACTCTACCACACCATTCGCCCTTGAATTATATCTGCTAATACAAATATGGTGGATATGGCAGTGCTTCTCCAGGTATTCAAGTGCCTTTAGGAAGGGCTGACCATTATCTGTGACGATGTCACGGAGTCCACCCCATCGGCAGAGTAAGTCCTCATAAATCCAGTCCCCAATCGACTGACTATTTTTGGCACAGAGTTTCTTTGCCTCAGGGTAGAATATGAGGACACACTGGGCTTGAACAACATAACTGAAGCCTCCGGATTTGGGAAGATGCATGGTATTGATATAAACCTTAGAGAACAAGGGAGCTGGTGTCGCAACGACCAGAGGGATGAGAACTTGCCACATTTCATGTGTCTGGCATATATGACATGTCTTAACATACCAGGCCATGTCTTTGACAGTGGAGGGCCACCAGAAATGTTCTAATAAAAGCACTTTTGTTGCATAATTCCCCTATGGCCTACATTGCCGTGACATGCCTGCAGCGCTCCTATTCTCTCCTCCACAAAGAGCACAACTTGGTGTGACCCCTGGAGAGGCTTTCGCCATAGTTTGCCACCTGAATAAAAGAACTGTGTTGCATACTTCACAAAGCTCTCGTACTCCTCCTCAGGAAGCTGTGTGGGGCGCTGAAAAGTCTGGAACCACACCGGCAAGAGGCGAAGTCGATGATCGACCTTTAACTCCTTCTCATTCTGGGGTAAGTCTGCATACTCCAGAATTTCCTCCGGTCGCTCCAGATCGCTGACATCTGCATTCGCAAATATTGCTAAGTTTCCTGGTGCCTTCAGATATGGGACTGGATTAATGAAGTGGAGGAAACCATGCAGACGGTCTATCCATCATTGAATTCATTGTCTGGGTCCATGGGTCTATCTCCTGGCTGAGGCAGACAACGACTGAGTCCATCCGGTGATAAGCCTCAGGATCGTCTGACCCCCGAAAACGCGGACTCAGCACATCGTACAAGCCCTCCAGAGCTTATTCGACACAGCACTCACACGCCTCTAGGCTTCTATGGGCTCTAAAGAATTGCTCTATTTAGCTCCGGACTTCCTAGCATCCTCGAGGCGTACATGGACCCATTCCGCGATTTATCTCTGCAAACAGGAGCTCCGGGAGCGACTTAACCAATGTGACTTCTAGATGAATTAGCTCCGGGGCCGCGGGCACTTCTATCAAGGGCATCATCCTCATGCCCACCCTCCAGCACTCACTCCCCCC